AAAACTATGCTGTTCACCGATTTAACAGACCTCTGACTGCCAGACACCCAAGAGGAAGAGGCACTGCCCTTCTGATTAAACGCTGCACATCTCATAACTCGGTTCCAATTCCGCAGCTTTCAGCTATAGAAGCCACAGCTATTACGTTCATAACAAGCCCTTCTGCAGCATACACTTTTGTCTCCACATTTATTCCACCTGCACGTAACCCTCAGTCTGTGCTTGCGGACTTAAAGGTTCTACTCTCATTTGGCACTTATGTTATTATAGGTGAAGACCTCAACGCTAGACACCGCTCCTGGGAAGTGCTACAATTCAAATGACACAGGACGCGTAGTTTTCAACTTAGCCAACTCGGCGAATTTACATATAGTAGCTCCAAAAACTCCAACACGGTATACCGCGAACTTCACGGGGATCATAGATTTCTTCCTGCTCAGAAACACCAGCATTCCGCTGGATGAACTCTCCTCTGATCAGATTATGACCATGATTCTGGACATTAGTAGTTATACCTCATCAGACACAAGAGCATTCACTACTGACTGGCACAAGTTCGCCAAAGCTCTAAAGAACATTCAATATACACTCCAACGATACACTCAAGGGATGGTATAGATAGTTTAATTCAGAACTTCGCAACTGCTCACAACAATGCAAAGAGACAGCTACCAAGAAAATGTAACTAGAGAAGCACGGAATTACAGCAGTTAATAAAACAACGGAATGCAGCCAGAAGGCATTTCCAGGGAACCCGTAACCGGGAGGACAAAAACAATTCAAAATCATTCAAAAATGGGTTTGCAATACTGTCAAGTGTCTTTTAAATACCCGAACACAACAAGACTGGAGCAACTACCTCAGTGCACTTTCCACTGATGACAACTCACTGTGGAAAGCCATTAAAAGGTATATACGAAATGCCACAATATCATTCTGCCCCTTAAAGGCCCACAAAAGATACATTACACTGAAATTGAGAAAGCAGAACTGTTAGCTTATAAGGTATTTCTCCCTCTTTCCTAATGTGCCTTCGTGGTGTACTGGTTCTGCACGCTGGGCCGGTATTTCAGAGGTCCGTGGTTGCATTCCCGGCGAAGAAGTTGCTAATTTTTCATCTTGTCCGCTTCCAAAAATTACCTAATGTGTCTACAAGCTATGCACCTGGAATCTCAATTTCGCACAAACAACATTCATGACACTACAACAGAAAATCTAGTTCACAGCTTTCACTCCAACTTCCCAACAAATCTAAGCACTGACAACATACTTCCAGCCTTACTGTCAGAAGTCTATGCATACATCAGAAGAATCAAGAAGAAGAAAAGTCCTCGCATAGATTCCATCACCAAATGTATGATAAAAAAAGTTCCCAATCAAGACCATTTTCACTATTACTAGACTTTTCAACCTTATTCTAAAGTGGCAACACTTTCCTCAACCTTGGAAGACTGCGAAGACCATTCGGATCCTCAAGCCCAAAAAACCTACATCTAAACCGGAGTCTTATTGCCCTGTCAGTTTACTCTCTTCCATCAGTAAAATCTGTGAAGCTATCCTACTCAAGAGAATCAACGACTACATAGAAAGCAATAACATCATCAGACCACACTACTTCGGTTTTATAAGGTAACTGTTAACAACTAACCAGGTCTACAGAGTAGTAGAAACTACCTCCGAGAGAATGGCAACACGCAAGATCACTGGAGGACTGTTTCTAGACATTGCTAAGGCTTTTGACAGAGTCTGGCTCGAGACTCTCACAAATTACACTCTCTAGGCTTCCCAGGCTACATCATTAACATTATTAATTCCTACCTAACCGGTAGACCGTTGTTCACGTTTCTGGCACAAACTCCACCAGCCATGCCATCCAGGCTGGCGTTTCACAAGAGTCCTTTTTCCACAAGGACCCACACTTTTTACTATTTACGTAAATGACGTACCATCCACACACGACATAACATTTGCTACGTATGCAGACGACACTGCGATCCTAGCGCAAAGTGCATTCGTAGGTCGTCATTCAACGATTACAAACTACATCCATACATTAGAGACTTGGCTTACAAAACGGAAAATTCAAGTCAATGTGAATAAAACACTGCCCATTATGTTCACCAAAAAGCAAATTCAAGAAAATCCCTGGGCCAAGCAGGTCCCTTATCTTGGGGTGATCCTCAACAAAACTCTTACATGGGACCCACACATTACATCTATGATCCAAAAATTTCGAGTTCATAAAGCTAAACTATACCCTTTAATTGCTCGAAACAATGCTTTATCAACTGACAACAAGTTACTCATTTATAAGTCCGTTCTCTATCCATTACTATGTTATGTTAGTCCAGTTTGGGCCTAAACCAAAAAATGTAATAGGAAAAAATTAGAGACTTGCCAAAATTCTGTTTTTAGGCAAATAGGTAAAGCGGAGTGGTATATCCGCAACAATAGAATTCATGAAGAACTGGGTATGGAACCACTACGCTCACATTATTATAAATTTGCTAAAAGCTTTCATGAAAGACAAAAAACAGTTAACAATCCAGCCATTAAGATTTGCAATTATGACTATGATGACCTAGCAAATATGGACAGGCCCATGGGCCAACTGAATGTATATATTATGTAATATTTATTATAATGCCTTTACGGTTTATGTTAAACTTCTCTAATTATATTTGCTATGCATTCTTTTTAGTCTTACGTTCATAGTATTCATAGTACTTATCGGATTCAAATTACCAGTGTTCGTTTAACCCTGCCTTTATCCACACGCTCACCAGCCTACAATCTGGATTTGGAAGTTTCAAATTTATTTTATGCAAATTGTACCTAAAGACACTTTCTGAGCCTCCAGACCGCTGATATTTGCTCTTAAGGTCAGTATAATTTTATTTAACAAATATGTTTCGTAGTCTCATATGCATGCTGTACGGCAGCAGTGATAAGTGGCGAAATTTCCTTGGCTTCATTTTTGTAACGTCATGCTTACTCGAGATATTCTAACCTCCTTGATGTTAGCAGATAAAACTACTTTCTAATCGTTGAATTTTTTTAATTGAAAATTCATTAAAGCCTTACAAAACAGGAAATAAAATAAATTCGGACTTCCAAGTGCACATATACAGGTGGATGACTGCATGTTTCAAAACTGGATGGGTCTAGGTACTGTCATTTTTTTACAATGCGAGAAACATACAAACAGATTGTTCATTATTTAACTTCTTCATAAATAATACAAGACGATAATATTTGGTGGCAAGGATTTGAAAAATGATACACCGTTTACACTGAAAGGATTCAAAATCTCATTTCGAGACCTAATAGCCCCTTTTGAGCTAAAAACAGCACAGGATTTAAATTTTTCGGCATATCTTTCCTCAAGCAGTTGGTATATACCAAGTAATGCAAAAGAAAAAGCCTGTTCTTGACATACCAAAAGTACAATTAAGCTTAATATATAAATTAAATTTAAAAAAATATGCATCCATCAGTCCAACCCCAAAACGTCAGAAATGAAAACTGAAAGAAAAGTGAAGCAAATACAAAAATGAGGAAGACAATTTTTTTTTAAAATAACTTTGATGCTCTGATAAGTCTTCCCTGACAATGTGCAACGTAAATGCAATTTGAAAATTTTTTTTATTAAAGCAATTTTCAACTAGACTCCAGGTGAAGAAAGTGACTCGTAATCAGAAGTGTACAAATTCATTCTAAGTACTAAATTCAATACACAGCAAAAACAATCAAGGAGAGCAAATAAATTCGCATTTAATGTTACATTACAAAAAAAAAAAAAAAAAAAAAAAAAAAAAAAAGAACAAGTTTTAATAAATTAACTTTCGCAAACCTGGAACTGAATGACAGATTGATCAAGTAAAAAATATTATTGCAGTTCATATACATAACCGACAATAATTAAACAGAAATAAAAACTATTCAGTTGGAAGAACTGGGACTAAAAAATATTTAACACCTTAAAAGCAGTACAGCTGTAAACAGCAACAACTCTTTTCATAAAGGCAAAGCAGTGTCTGAAGAAGTGGGAGTACCTTTGCTGGAGCAGGAAAAATGTTTGGAAAGCAAGATGATTTATAAAAGAATTACTAGACTTAAAAACTGAACTATTAAAAGAAAAAATACGAGTAATAGGATGGCATAAGCCTAAAAGGGAAACAAAATATTACCCAAATTCAAATTGAATATTAATTCAAACCCATTGTAAAAAATAAAGAAAGATAAATTTGAAATATGTGCTAAATGTTGCAAACCTTGCAAAATTAACAAACATTAAAAAAAAAAAAAAAAAAAAAAAAGGCAAAACCCAAATTACATGCTACCAAGCTGCAGTAAATCGGTGACAATAATTAAATTCAAATATTACATTCAATTTGACAATAAATAAAAAAAAAAGAATTAGAACATATATAACACCAAGATTATTATTTCAGGCATAGAAATAAAGCTACATAAATTATACAGCAATGAAAGTATTTAAATTAGTTATAAAACAGTGTGACATATAAATAAATCTAAACTAATTAAAAAAGCAGTGTCTTTAGCTTCTGGCTGGCTTTTGTTCTCCCACTGCAGAAGAAACTTGCCAACCCTACTGGGAAATTAACACTAGAATAGCCGAATTTCAGACTAACCGAAAACCGCCATTGGGGGGTCAATTTGACCCTCATAAGAAATGTAAGTAGAAACACAGTAAATGATTGAAATGATGCTGAAATGACCGCATAGAGAGTTTTTAGAGGTTTTTATTTATTTTTTATACTTTAGAATTTTTTTTCGTGCAATTAGTGCAAATTAGCACACAATAACTTTCAATGTAAGATTACAAAAACAAAAACGAAATCTATGAAAAACAAATAAAAGATACAAATGCAAAAAGTGGAAAATAGAACATATGCAAAAAATAAATTTAAAAAAAAAAAAAAAAAAAAAAAAAAACCATAAATTGGGAATAAACACACAATGTTTTCCAAAGTTTGTTATACATTACCGCAGGTGATACAATATGAACGCTTGACAGTGACAGCAACACATTTACCACAAATTGGTTTCTGGCATCCTTCACAGCTGACAACAGTCTTGTTTTGTCCCTTGCAACTTTGAAATGCACATTTCTTTCGTTTAAGTGTCTGTATTTGAGCAATTGGGGGACATCTGTTGCGTAGTGCACCAACTCGTAGTTCTTCCACGAGTGCAAGAATAAATTCTCGACGAGAAATAGAGGTGCCCAGGGATTCTTTATATATAATCCAAGCATTGAGTGCAGCAATGTCAAGGACGTTGTAAAAAACATGTACAGGCCACCTGCGACTTAAACTACATGTACTGTATTTCCTCAGCATCTGATCTGCGACATCAACGCCACATTTTGTACTGTTGTAGTAAGTGACAGTGTTCGCTTTTTTCTTTATGCTGTCGTCAACAAACACATTACTGTGCATCGTGCTCAGAATCACGACATTCTTTTCGCTCTTGCACCTATATATTGTGAGTGTTTCGTCTCCATTTTTCAGTGCAAAAGATGAATATCGTGCCGAAGAAGTGTCACGAGCAATAGGGGGTAATTCTCGCTTATTCAAACGCATCGTCCCTACAATTGTTTTTTTTTTTTTTCGCAGAAAATACATCGTCAAGTTTCACAGAAGTAAAAACATTGTCAGTTGTGACATTGAGTCCGGAGTTTAAATGTGGTTGCAGTAATTTGAGAACTACACTTTCCCCAAGTTGTAAATTAGTTGGTCGTTCTTCATCCTTGCCCAGATAAGGATAACCATTCAAAACATATTTGGATTTTACATCAGTTGCTAGCCAGAATTTGATGCCAAACGCCAAACTTGTCCGGTTTATTCGCTATGTACTGAATAAATCTACATCTTGATTTACAAGGCAACAATTGTTCATCAACGGTTATTTCTGGTCCAGGATTATAGCATAAATAACAGCTTTCCATTAGCTTGTACCAGGTTTCAGAAGCGAGAGCAAATTTGTTAGTGGCGAGACGATCAGCTCTGGTGCTTCGGACATCGAATCTGAGATACCGCATTATTTCACGGAACCGATTGCGTGACATTGTTTCTTTGAACGCAGGTGGTCCCCGATTCTTGTTCCACAAATCATCTGCACAAAGTTTTGAATGGCCTAGTGCTCCACGGCATACAGGAGGGCAAAAAAGGCAAGTTCTTCCAGAGTAACATGTCAACCACTATCATTTTTCACATTTCCAGAATTGTCCTCGACATCACTATCACTGCTTTCAGAGACCGACGCGTTCTATAAGTTCACATCAACGTTAAAATCTTCATCACTGCTATCATCATCACTTATATCTGGTTCCAATTGTTCAAGGAGGGCAAGGCACTCTTGTGTACTCAATCCTCTTCCTCTCGGCATTGCAATGGAGAGAGAATATGCTTCGTTCTGGATTTTATTTTTCTTGCCCGAGTCATCGCGATAAAAGCTGCGTGTTTCCCAATGCGCAGAAAACGAATACGTGGCATCGGGAATTCGAAAACGGACATTCGCTTAAAAATATGTCGTTTTTTTTATGAGGGTCAAAATGACTCCACTTGGCTGTTTTAGGTATATCTGCGATTATTTATTTAAATAATTAACGTAGAAATATGAAAAATTGGCATAGTATACTTGGAAACATTTTAGAAAAAGTAAAAAAATATCAGCTTCGAAGCTCAGTTGTATGTTAAACAAAAACGCGGAAAATTGGAAAAAAAAGGTAAAAATGACCCCAACGGCGCTTTTAGTGTTAAAAGCCTAGCACGAACCCTGAAAAGGTGTTAAGAGCTTTAAACACTTAAATATTTTGGAAAAAAACAAAAAAAAAAAAAACTGAAAGGTTTCAGATTTTAAATTATGTCCAAAAGGACGCTTTTTTAACGTTTTGTGTGTTACCTTTATTTATTAAATATCATGTTCTTTGTACTTAAACCATAAAATTCAGTTCAACAGCAATGTCACAAAATAATTTTAAAATGAGCATATCTTTAGAATTTCGGATACACAGTTCGGCGCGCTGGAGATATGCAGATTTTTTTCTCCGTAAATTGTTGCCATTGCTCGCTTTTAAATCGTTGAGTTTGTTAATCAAAAATTCGTTAAAGTTTTACAAAATATGAAATCGATAATAAAGCAAATTTAAATGCCCATATTCGCAGTATGATTAAGTCATTCAAAATTGAATAGCTCTAGTTACCGTTGTTCTATCACAGTGCGAAAAACATACATTTTTATGCAGATTCTTCATTATTTAATTTCTTCAAATATAATACAGGGCGATAGTATTTGGTGGCAACAATTTGAAAAGTGATACAACCTTTTAAAGTTTTCAACGCTAAATCGCAAAACGCAAAAAAGTCTCTTCGGACAAAAGACTTGATTTGTCTGCATAAAATACATTGATTACCCATTATCGCACAAGATTGATTGCAGCACACTTTCAGACAAATTTTGGAAGTTATCCATCCTATTGTGAAAACTATCAGATACCATTAAAAAAAATTAATTACCATCATATGCATGAACCATCTGAAATTTAAAATGAAATTTCCAAAATACCCCAATAACTTGCAGAGATGCCCTGAAATATGGATTCCTCAGTATTTGATCACCAGTTAAAATACATGATTAATGATATAAACAGAAAATTAAAATCTTTAACCCGCCGAGTACGGTGCGATTTAGACACATGCTGGTTCTGAAATACGGGGCGTTTTTTTTATATATTCTCTATTGTCATATACTACTATTCTCGTCTTTGTCAACAAAATTAGTATAATGCGGAAATTTTAATAGTTTTTTTTTTTTTTTTTAATTTTAAAAAACATACTTATGCACGCTATTTTCATGCGACCTGTATTACGAGACGGATTTCGTATCCCGTGGAAATCGTGGCAGCCGTACGAGGAGGATTAAATAAAATTTGTCTCCAAAACAAGTAATGGAAAGATGACAGCACGCAAATGAAAATACCACACATACATCATCAGCAAACAAACTGGCAATCAGGGAAGACTTATCAGAGTATGCAGCCTCGATTTTCGAATCTAAACATAGCTAACTATTCAAATTAAGAGTGCTGTAACATGATTCTCTTATATGAGAAATGCAGTTGGCAGGTGAAACAAACAGAACTGCAGTTGTGCATTCATTTTCCTTAATTGTTTCCATTTACTACTATCAGGACCATTCGCTAACTCAAGAAACAGGGAGCTGTATAAGTCATCTCTGTTGGGTCGGTTGACACTTGCAGGTGTGCGTGCACATGCAGCAACTAGACATCATTGCCTATGCACTAGCATTCTCATACTACAGTACAAGAAATACCAGTGAGGTGAGCAGCCTTATATCTGATATGTACGGAATGAACTGCAAGCTCATTTGCACAGTGCAACACTAATACAAGAGTTGTTGCTTTTCAGAGATGATACAAATACAGTGAAACATTGGATCATAAACACCTCAAGTCACACGTAACTTCCAAAAGTATTTTGAGGTAACTTCTGCCATATAACTAACACTCAGAAAGTACTGAAAACTTCATTTTAATATTTATAAGGTATTTCTCACGCCTTCCTAGCGTGCCTTCGTGGTGTAGTGGTTCTGCACGCTGAGCCGGTATTCCAGAGGTCCGCGGTTCGATTCCCGGCGAAGGAATTGTTGATTTATCATCCTTGCCTGCTTCCAAAAAAAATCCTAATGTCTCTACAGTGCCTCCCCGGGGGTTGACTCAGGCGAACGCCTCGGAAGTACTGGTTAGAATCTGTATCTAGGCAGTCTCAACCACGGGGGTATATAATTTGATTTCACAAAACTAAAACCCGAGTACTCAGGTTGGTTCAGGCTTGGCAGGGACCGTACTGGTACTGTCGTGTCTGTTCCTTCGGCTGTGGTGGAGGTATATATTAGAGATTGTCGACCGAGTCCCCGGGGGTTTGACCCCATTCAGTTCTCGTGGCGGGGACGGACAGAGCAGCTTTTAATAATGTGGTTTTGCCGATGTAGTGGTGCCCAGAGGAAAGAAGACAGAGTTTCAAAATTGCAACATTTTAGTTCTGCCCAATGCTTTGTAAAAGACGGGCGGGGACTGCGGGGGTTGCGCCCGCAAGGATAAGGTCCCACGGACGACGATACTCCAAACTCTGTATGGGTCCTCTAGAATATGGACTTGGGTTGGAGGTCCTTCGTCTGGTGTGTCTGTCTCTACAGCGGCGTCCGAACTAACAGGGTGTTGGATGATGATTCTCCTCACCCAGGATTTGGCGATTGGGTCCCCTAAAAACTCCAGTCGCCCTTTAAAAGGGGGGTATATAAGGTAGTTCTCCCGCTTTCCTAGCGTGCCTTCATGGTGTAGTGGTTCTGCACGCTAGGCCGGTATTCCAGAGGCCCGAAGTTGGATTCCCGGCGAAGGCGTTGTTAATTTTTCCTCTTTCCTGCTTCCAAAAAAAATCCTAATGACTCTACATATTTCCCATTGTGCAACTTGGAAAATAAAGTCAGATGATGAAAAGTGTCTCTCACAAACACTCAGGGTATGTGTAGGGTGTCATTTACTTTGGTCTCATGATGACACCGATAATAACATTTAGCATTTTAATGATTTAAAAAAAAAAAAAAAAAAAAAAAAAAAAAAAAAAAAAAAAAACAGAAACATGAAAAGAAGTAAGATGAATAAATGAGTCCGTAGCATCATGCAAAAGGGATAATCATCACACCAAACGATATCACTAAACAGTCCATAGTTCCATCAATTAATCAAACTGCCTCATCGCTTGTTTTTGGATCCACCGCAGCTGCCTTCGCTCTCATCTCTCGTCTCAATCTCAAAGGCGGAATCCTCCGAATTCGATCACATAGCCTGGAGAAGTATTTAGCTGTTGTTGTGGTTGCCAGTTTGCTTAGAAAAGACGCCGATGAATACATATATAAAGTATTTTCAAGTAACATATGCCACAGAATTAACACTCAGAGACTTCTGAAAACATAATTTTACTATTTACTCTCATTAACAAAACCTAGTACAAATAAATGATTTGAAGTACCATAAATTAGGCCTAGAGGAAACTGTGGCCCAACTGGAGTTCAGGCAGACTTTGACACTTTTTACCTTTTTTGTTATCTATGATAGCTATGGACTTAGAAAGTTAACAATAAAGATATGGAGACATTACTAAAGGTACATCAAACTGAACTCAATAAGAAAAAAAAAAAAAAAAAAAAGCTATAGCATCTTCAAAAGCAGCAAAAGACGACTGCCCAAAAAATGTCTCGAAGACGAAAAAAAATGGTTCTAGTTCTCTATTTCATGAAATTTGTACAAAATGGTGTAAAATGAAAAGTTTTTATGTAAGAATATCACCCAATAAAGCTACAGCATAAACACTTTCAATGACAATGCTATATGTCTCATTTTAGAACCATTTTAAAATGCAGGTAACAGCAGATCACACTGGACTAATTTTCAGTGAAACAACAGCCTAGAGCAGGGATGGGCAAACATTTTCGGTCGCGGGCCAAAAATCGAAAAAAAAAAAAAAAAAAAAAAAAAAAAAAAAAAATTGGCGGGGCAAGACAA